ATGACGAAGAGCATGCAAGCTCTCACATGTTCAGTAGCTAGGCATGAAGAAGAGTGTGTGAGCTCCAGAGGTGAGGTTGGTTTCTGTCTATTTTACACACAGTGAGTCTGTCTACAATTAATTGTTTGAAAAGCAATTGTGAAGTGGAAAGTGTGCAAACAATTGTGGTAAATTATATCTAAAGTGTCTTGGAGAAACTGTGAACCAAGGCAAGAGAGGTGGACATGCCAGCTTTGCTGAGGTCTTGGGTATGTCATATTTGGAGTGAAAGCTGTGATTTTGTCCCCAGGATTAGCAATATCTCAAAATTCCAGTACTGGAGGCAAGCAGGAAATTACACAGTAATGCACCATGGGAGAGGAGATTGCTTTCTGATCCTCCAGGCATTTGTTTTATGTGCTGACACAAGAACGTTTGATTACTCTCTTAGCTGTCTCACGGGGAATAGGTGTAAATGCTAATATGCACCAGACATTACCATAACCGTGGGGACAAATTTCATGCCAGCAAGACCTGCAGGCGTGCATTCCGTATCATGGCAGCCAGCCTGCCGTTGTAGGGTAGACAGACTATCATCAGACTTTGGTCTAGGGAAGACCCCAGGGTCAGAACTCATGAGCTGCAACCTGTTATTGGAGTCACAGTTTATTCTTAGAATTTACTGTTGGCAACAACAGGAAATGGATTTCTGTACAGGAGGAGAGATATTCCAGAAAAAAACGTAAATCCTAAAGTTTAATGAGGGAGCAGTTGAGGGAAGTCACAGGTGAGTTCTTCTGTCATAAAGCAATTGGGGTCCTTTTAGCTTCTCATGGTGGAGACAGCGGGAACAGTTTTGTGATTATTCAACTTCCCTAAGGCTCAGTGCTTTGGAGCACCTGATGTACACCTGACATCAAATGCTTTGGAGCACCTGATGTGTGCTTGGCACTGTGTTAGACACTTGCACAAAGCACTGCATGGATTCTCATCCCCTTGTGACTCAAGTAGTTCCTTTGCTGGGCTACTGTTGCTTTGAGACATCAATATACATATACATATATACATACATTTATATATTTATAGGTTGTTGCCTCTCCTAAAGACAAAAAAAATTTAGAGTCAATATATTATTTTGTAAGGAGCCTCAGTCCTGGGGAAGAGTCCAGAGGTGGAGAGAAAAATGAAGCTGTTGGTGAGGGAGGGGCTCATGAGTTCCCATCCCTAGCTGAGGATTATCAGGGGTTGATGGTTGCTGGAGGAAGGAGAGTCAGTTTTCTACAGGTATATGGCTTCTTGAAGGTTGTCCTGGCTCCAGTGGATGACCCTACATCCAAGCACACACAGGCACCACCAACTGGACTCTGTGTACTAGTAAGAAAAAAAGACAGGAAGTGAAGTTTGGAGGACAGGGAGGAAGGAAGGTCTGGGAGAAATTAAACGGGAGGAAGTAGGGACAGAGATGATTAAAATACATTGTCAACATGTGTGAAATTATCAAATATAGATAAATAAGAATTTAAAAGTTATGCTGAACCCAGGAGAAGAGATAAATCTCTGATTCTGAGGCAAAGGGGAACAGAGTGGGTTGCTGGCTCCTTTCCCAGCTAACAGCCTTTAATGACACAGCATAGCTGAAAATAACCAGATTCTGTCATTGTAGATCCAGTGTCACCTTGATGGACAGCCAGAGGATGAGAAGTTTTTCTTTGTCTTCCTTGTTTTGGAACTAGTAGTCCTCAAAGCTGGGAAAGATAGGAATAAAAATCCAAAATTCAAATAAGGCACAAAGAAATCCAGACGTATTAAATGATATTTTAGACTGAACATGTTTATTTGACCTGCAAGTCAACTTCTCCTTGTGCTCACAGAAAGCAACTGTCACCAAATTAGTTCTCTGGTCTGGAGAAAAACAAATAGAAGATCCCATGACAGTCACTTACCACAAATACAACAGATTGAGGGATGATTGTGCCCAGGTGTTGACAACAGGCGGAGGAATCCACGATCCTCAAGAGAAGGGAATACAGAAGAGTTTGGACAACTGAAGCCCTTTCAGGCCCATGGCTGGAGAAGATAGGGTCAGCCTGTGGGTAGGAGAAAGCAGACTTTATAACTAGATCTTTTTAAGATAATAGCTTGGCATTTGGTAGCTCCAAGGTGCTAGGCTTGACCACCCATCGTGGCAGACCAATTAAAGTCACAAATAATGGGGCAAAACAGAAGAAGATTCATTCAGTGTGGTCTTTCTGGGAAGAGAACTCATAAAGGAGTCTGGTCAACCCTGAGTTGTTGCAAAGAAGAGGGCCCGCTTGTTCGTCCAGGCCACCCAGCTAGCTTAGCCCGGAAATAACCACACAGAAATTGTATTAATTAAAACACTGCTTGGCCTATTAGCACTAGCCTCTTACTGGCTAACTCTCACATCTTGATTTAACACATTTATATTAATCTGTATAGCGCCGGGAAAGATTCGGTATGTCTGTCTAAGGTGGAGGATTCATGACATTCCTCTCCTACTCAGCCTTTCTTTCTCCCAGCATTCAATTCTGTCTTCCCCTCCTACCAAGTTCTGCCCTATCAACTAGGCCAATGCAGTTTCTTTATTAACCAATGAAAGCAACACAAAGACAGAAGGACCTCTTACACCACTGAGTTTGTCATTGGGGTATTTATTAAATGATTCTTTTCTGGCCTTAACACCTGGGCTGTACAGCAAGACCTGACTGGCTTTGAACCTGTGATGTTTCCTCTGCCTTTGCTTTCCAAGTGCTGGGATTACAGGTGTGTGCGACCACACCCTGCTTTCATGTAGCTGTATTTTGAAAGATGTGACTGAATCAACAAATTAATTAATAATTCAATAATTTTATCTGAATACTTCCTAAAATTTGGTTTGCAAAGATTTTTTTTTTTTAAAATTGTGGTTTATCAGCAGGAAGACTTCTAAACAGTAGGAAATCACCTGCTGTCCCACCCCCTCTGAAATGCTCCCTTTTATAACAAGTATTCCTGCTATCATATTTCAGATGGGTTTTGTTCCTGGTCCAAAAACCATTACTGCATTGGGAAGTCAGGCACATGACTGACGCACACACAGGAGAGGACGTACCATCCCCAATGCCACCAAAGTTTATACTTTGGAGACGAAGAAGACACCACAGAAAGAGAGTGAGGCTTCTAGCTCTGTTTTTTCCCATAGGAGCTCCTGCTCATCTACCTCTCTTCTGTGTCTGTTAATAGTGAACTTGGCTCATGGTATTAATTCTATTAATTCACTGAATGTTCCCCCAACTACCTACAGATATTCAATTAAATGAGGCATTTGGAATCTTAAACTCATCCATCTGAAAATATCTTTCCCTGATCTGAGACGGGTTCATTAATTTGTCCGTTTGACTGCATTTAACAGCATCTAGCTATGGAACATCACGGAACATCTACACCTGTGAAGTGTGAGCATCAGCAAGAGTGATGAAGCGAGACAGAGAAGAGAGAGACATGACTTTGATCTTAAAGGCCTTGCAGCGTGAGGGGAAGAGCAGAGAAGCAGAGGACTGATGGCCACACGCTGTGGGATGAGCTGTGGTGGACTAGAGTGGGGTTTGCACAGCGTTAACAATCGGTTTTCTCACAAACCTCACATTGCACACACCCTCATGAATACTGGGAAAAATGTAAAAATGGGATTCTCCAATGTCCACCTAGTAGGTCTATGGCATTAGGGCTGAGCAATCTGCTTTAAGAGAGTACTCCAGGTGGTTCCTAAGTGCACTGAACAGCTGAGAGAATAGTTGCTATAGATCCATTGGTCACTCTTCAGTCTCCACACTCACCAGAAATCCACAGCAGGCAGTGGCAGATAGCACAGGCCCGTTGCAGAGGTAATCCTGACTCAAATGTAAAGCACTCAATTTTTTGATAAAGCTATTATTACAAATTCCTGGCAACTCACTATTTAGTAGACCAATAAATAAAAAATTTTGTGATCTAGGGGCTAAGCTTTGGATTTCGGGGCAGAGCTCTGTGTCTGCCCAGCTGTGGTGCTTTGAGTACACTGTGTTTTCAATTCCCCATTTTTGAGACAGGGTGATAAAAGCGCTACCACATAGGACTGCTGAGAGAACCAATACAGTTACACACGTAATCCAAGAACCCTGAAAACCTTGTGATCTGCTCCAACGGCCGTCAGTTCCCATATCCTTTCCAACATAGTTTCTGGGGACATTCTCTAAGGAGTGCAGAGCAAGGCCACTGCTTTACAGAGTACAATGAGCAAGACAATGGGTCCCTATGTCATCCACTGTGGTAATTTGAATGCAATTGGTCCCATAATCTCATAGGTAGTTGCTCTAGTAGGAGGTGCAGCTTTGTTGGAGTAGATATGGCCTTGTTGGAGGGTGTGTCACTGGGGGGGGGCAGGCTTTGTGGTTTCTTATGCTCAGTGTCTCAGTTGACTTCCTGTTGCCTGCAAGATGTAGGACTCTTAGCTGTTTTTTTAGCCCCACCTCTGCCTGCACGCCTCCATGCTCCACATCATGGTGAAAGTGGACTGAACTTCTGAAACTGGATGTGAGCCGCTCCAATGAAATGTTTCCTTTATAAGAGTTGCTGTGATCATGGTGTCTCTTCACAGCAATAAGACCCTCACTAAGACACCAGTGCTTGAATAACCTGTGATCTGACTTGGGCAGAGAGTCCGTAGGTGGAACCTGGGAAAGGAGAGGGTAAGTGGAAAATCCAGTTATGCCCCACCCAAATGAGGAACTTACCCAGGTGCTGTCTGACACTGATAAAGCTTTATTGACACTGTAGACAGAGGAAGAGACTCTTAGTCAAAAGATGTAGGCAACCTCTGGAGTCTGACAAAAGCGAGGGAATGGTCTGCCAGAAGGAAATAAAGTCCGACCAATACATGAATATTAGGTGGATGGTTCCATATCAGAATGATGAATAGTTTAGCTGCTAAGACATTGTAGAGGCACTGAGTTTATGGAATTTTGTTTGAGCAGAAGTGGAAAACTAATACACATGTTCTTAGAGACAAATGTCCCCCCTTTTAATAATATACACATCAGCATTCATCTGTAAGTGTTGTACTCAGAATATAATCTCCCATTTCAATGGCATAGCCTCTCATCAGTGGAATTAAGGATTTGCCTTGACTCTAAGGATTTGAAAGCTGTTATTTAATTTCAATAAGTCTTCTGTCTATAAATAGTTTAAAATATGCCAACCTTATACATAAAATACCAGAATAATTTTATAATACAACATATGAAGATACACAAAACACTGTCAATTAGGAAAACAATTACCTTTTAATTTAATTGTATTTCTGTTTTGATATTTTTATGCATAAGCATCCTGTATTTGCATTATTTCCACCTCTCTATGCCTCTACTCCCTCTACCTACGTCAGTATCCAAGGATTTATAACCTCTTTTTTTTGGATTTTCTCTGGGGAGATACAATTGTGTAAATTGAATTTTAAATATTTCAACAATATCAGAGTAATTTGTTTAAAATAAACATACATCAATAAAGATTTTACCAATAAAGTCTTGAAGTTTCTAATTATGAACCAAAAAAAAATAAGTCTTCTGTCTTTCAAGGTGCAGGGTATAAAGCAATTCCTCATGATCTTTTGTACCTCTTCTCTAACATCCTCATATTTAATTATATCCCCCTCCCTCTTCCCTCAACCTTTAGAGGTTTGTTTCTACAGGATTTCCACCAGATAGTACCTCATGGATCTCTGTTCATGTTAAATGTCCCATTATTTCACAGATTCTTCTATGATGTGCCTGGAAACAGGGTCTGGGTAATTGGCAATCACATTATTTGCCGCAGCACTCTAGAATGCCATAAAATTATCTTCCAGCTAAATGAACCTAAAAGAAATAATGCAACTAGAATATTTAAAACCCCAACTAAGAGAGTTTTTGCATTATCCTGAACTTTGGTTACTAAGTGAAGATAATTTTTAAAGCTGTGATTAAGGATACATTTAAATTAGAATGTAGTTAAAAGGTGAGACAGAGCTTATGAAATCTCATCTGAATAAATGTGTCCCGTGGGAGAAGATGTTGTCTGCAGTTCTCGCTGTGGTTCGTGGCGTTGCTATTGTGCTGGAGGAACAATAACAAAGCTTGCGGCTCAGCGCACTGAAATTGATTTAAGTTTCTTTTAATCAGAATATACATTTATGACAGCTGCCACCAGCAAATAAAAGCCTAATTTTCTAATTTATTCATGCATTCACAGAGCTGTTTGGCTTTTTTTTTTCTTCCAAGACTGGGTTTCTTTGTGTAGCTTTGGAGCCTGTCCTGGAACTAGCTCCTGTAGACCAGGCTGGCCTTGAACTCACAGAGATCCACCTGCCTCTGCCTCCCAAGTGCTGGGACTAAAGACATGTGCTACCACTGCCTGGCCCCTGCCTTTTGTTGTAAGGATGGTTCCAGTAGTTTGAATTGGTTTTTAGCTCACTTTTCCTTGGCAAAGTCTGCAGTGCCTGGAGTTGTTAATCCAGGAGGTGAAAGGGTCCTGAGTCATTCTAAGTGTAAGAAGCTTCCAGAGGTGAGGTACCAGAAATGTTGATAGAAGTTTCTGTGTGTATATGATGTTGTGAACCCAGAGTTTTGTCCATGTTGGGCAAGATCTCTCCCAAAAAGCTGGGCAGGATCTTTCCTCAACCCTTGTTGGAATCTTATAGTAGTTCTGCATCCTCTGAGGCTGCTTTGAAAACAAATGGGATCTTGATTTCAGGCCACTCTTGATGAGGGCTGATATTTATTAAAATATGCTACAGGATTTGTGTGGTGTATAAAACACTGGGGGACATTTTTATGCAGCAAAGGAAGAACTGACGGAACACGACAACTGAATTCAAACACCTGAAGGGACGGCATGTGGAGAGAGAGGTTGATTTACTTCTGCCTTTCCCGAAGGGATGGAAGCGTCCTGCGGTAGGAGTTACGCTGAGGTTGATCTCCTGGGACCAAACGGTGTGAAGACAGAGGTGATGATTGTCCTTAGAGCTGTACAGGCTTCTCCAAGAGCCAGAGGTTCTTGTTCGACCTTAACAACCCATGTTTTATGAATTTCTCATGTATTTCTAGGTCAAATGAGGTCAAGTATTAAAGTCCCCACATCACCCCCCCCCCCAACACCTGCATCCACTCTGCTACACGGAATCAGGTTGGGCATTGGTACATGCTGAGAAAATATAGGCATCTCTCCCACAGCCTGATCCAAAAGGCACCAGGAGCAGATCTGCGGTTTCAGGATATAGACGGTGACTTTTATGTGACAATTTATTCCCCTCTCCTTTCCACCACTGGGGAACTGCCTTCTAGGGCATGGGTGGAACCCCAGGATTCTTTTCTGCACAACATCTACACACTTCTGTGGGCTTGCAGATGAAACTCTTTCTTTTTAAAAGACAAACTTGTGAATGTGTCTTCTGCCCCCATTTCAAGCTTGGTCAGTGTGTTCTCTACTCTGGGGCTTGCAGTGTGCATTCCTGCCTTGCCAACTGGCAACTGTTTCACATCTGCATTCTTATTTTGATGTTCTCTCTCTCTCTTTCCTTCCCCCCCGCCACCTCTGTGTCCTTATGTATGTGAAGGTGCTAGTGTACGGGTATAGGCCAGAGGACAACCTCAGCTGTCACCCACATTATGTTCCTTAGGTGCCATGCATATTATGCTCTGAGACAGCACCTCTTCTGAGCCTGGGGCTGCCCGGCCAGTGAGCCTCAGGGATCCACTTGCTGTGCTTCCCAAGTGCTTGGATCATTTGCTTAGGTCACCTGCTTATGTTCTTCTTTTTCTTTAATTTTGTTTTTCAAGACAGGGGTTTTCTGTCTTATAACTCTGGCTGTCCTGGAACTCACTCTGTAAACTGGCCTCAGACTCACAGAGATGCACCTGCCCTTGCCTCCTGATTGCTGGGATTAAAGGTGTGAGCAACCACTTCCAGCTGGTGATCTTCATTTGAATGTGGACTCTAAGGATGCCACACTCCTGCAAGGCAAGCACAGCCCTGACTGTGCGGTCCCCTGGTTCGCATTTCTTTCTGTTTTTCTCTGGCTTCCTGTTTCTCCCTTCTCATAAGTATTACCCTAACAGCATCGGTTCCCTTCTGTAGCAGCTACTGAATCCAGGTTTAAGTTTTTCAGTTTTTCTTTTAGAAGCAGCTCCCTGACATCTTTCCTGGGGGTATAACAGCACCTCAGAGCCCTTTCAAAGTGTGAGAGATGAGAAACACCAGGGAAAGAGAAAGGCGACCCTCCAGGCCAGAGACAGACAGTACGCAGGCACAGCTTGATGAGCGGCATCCTGGATAAGAGCTCAGCATGGATGTGATGTCATTACCTATAATAAAACAGCAGAATGTGATATGGAAGTGTTTTTCAGGGATCATAAAGTCATAATGATTAAGTATCAACAAAAACTTATGGATAGAAGGATTAAAGGAAAATAAAATAACATTCACATCATTCAGCCAGGAATGTTAAATAATTACTAAAAAGGCTCACAAATCAAGGGAACAATGAAAACAGCAACATGTCTAGCATGTGGCCAGAAAATGATCCCTCCTGCAGTGAACAGATCTGAGTGGAGATAAAAAATCGAATAATACCTGTACCTTCCCTTCTGGTCCAAGTACCTATCCTCTCAGGATCATCTGAATCCTGAGCTTCCTGCAGGTGAAGGTTAATTATTTTTAATAATACTGCCTCTTAATCACGTGCTGTGTTACGAAGCAAGAGTTTTGTTAGGCACACATTGATATATGGTGTTTTATCACATTTAATGTTCAAGAAGTTATGTTCTGTTGTAAGGAAGTCACTCATCAGTTCCTGGCCGCTTAGCCCCAAAATAATCACACAGAAACTGTATTATTTAAATCACTGCTTGGCCCATTAGCTCTATCTTCTTATTGGCTATCTCTTACATCTTAATTTAACCCATTTCGATTAATCTGTGTATCGCCACGTGGCAGTGGCTTACTGGGTGAAGTTCCCAGCATCTGCTCTGGCAGTGGCATCATGGCTTCCCTCTGACTCTGCCTCCTTTCTCACGGCAGTCCATTTAGTTTTCCCCACCTAGCTCTGTTCCCCTATAGCTCTGCCATAGGTCCAAACCAGTTCCTTTAGTAACCAATGATATTCACAGCATACAGAGGGGAATCCCACATCAATGTTCCCATTTTAGGATGAAGGAATCTATGTTTTCAGAGGTTGGTAGTCATTCAGGGTTTCTCAGCAGCCAATAATGGAGCCACCATTAGACCCTTGGTCAGCCTGATGCCTAACCTTGTTCTTTTAACCACCCCCAACTACTCTCTCTTCCTGCCCTCTGCTTCTTTGTCATTTGTAATGTTTCTCTTATTTACTTACCAGCTTTTCTTACTATGCTCTGTAGACTGCCCCTGGCTTTAAACTAAACTATTGTTTCCAACACAGCCTGACCAGCAGAGTCTCTGCCACAGGCTTATATCCCATGAATGGAACCTGGAGGAAGACAGAGGGTGGGGCTGAGGCAGGAAGCCAGATGATGGGGTAGTCTGTGGGTAGAACAGGGGTGGACTCAGTCTGAGCCGTCTTTAACTCATCAGTCTCTGTGGTTCTTCCATGTGTGTGCCTCTGAGGTTAGCAACCTGCTGTGCCAAACTTCTGGTTTTGTCCCTTAGCAAAGTAAACCTCTTACATCAGAATCACCATCATTAAAAGCGTCTAGCTATTTAAATGCATGCAGTGGCCTTTGGTTGACCTTTTCCTTAGTTTAAAAAATAGCAGGAAGTTTTCACATTTATATTTGATGTTCAAGAAAAGCTCAATCATGGTGAAAGGGCCAAGGCAGAGGAAGGATGGCTGCCCTTACTAGAAGCTATGGGTGCTACCGCTGTTGCCCCTGTAGCTTTCATGGATGAACAGTGGTGATTAAGTCCTAAGCAGGAGCTACTGTGGGGAGGGTGCAGTTCCTAACCATCAGCCTTGTTCTCCAGCTTGTAGCATGGAATGGAAAGTTGAGTGGGCTGAAGAGAGGAAAGGAGGGGACTCAGATAAGTGAGCCTACCTCTCTGGGTATGGAATGAAGTCAACTATCGAACAGGAGACTCAGTATCAGCTGTTAGTTCATGGGAGATGCTGGAAGCAAAGGCAAGAGTATCTCGAGCCACTAACCGCCCTTTTCAGAGGATTTGTGCTTATTAGTAAAAGTTTCCCAACATGATTGGGATTAAAAGCAACAGAAATTAAATAGAAGGAATTTTGAAAATCATATGAAACCTCCTGTAGGTCTCACAGCCAGGGTGGGCTGATCTCCATTTGCTAACCATGGATACTTTAAATTATGAAAGCTACAATCTTAGAATTTTTTAAAATATAGATAAAGGGGCTGTTTGACCCAGTTCTAGCCAGTGAGCCGGTGGAGGTGGGCTGCTTCCATATATTCCTTTCTGCCTTCCTTCCTGCTGGGATGCAGAGATGAAGTCTATGACTTTGCAGTCTTTGGTGAATCCTAAAGCAATAACAATGAG